GGTCCTTTTCGAAGTGGCGCCAGGGTGTTCACACCTACAGGATGAGCGGGCTGAGTACCTCGGCGGCCGATTTAGGGTTTGGGGCTTAGGGCTTGAGGTTTAGGGTTTAGGGTTTAGGGTTTTAGGTTTAGGGTGTAGGGTTTAAGGTTTAGGGTTTAGGGTTTAAGATTTAAGGTTTAGGGTTTAAGGTTTCGGGTTCAGGGTTTAAGGTTTAGGGTTTAGGGCTTAGATTAGGGGTTTAGGGAGTAGTTTATAGAGGGGCTTTAGCATTAGAATAGGGTTTGGGGACCCGTTATATTATGATATGATACCGAACCCCAAAATAGAATTGGCAATTATTTAGGCCCCTACACTAGTTAGGGTTTGGGGTTTCGGTTTTAGCAGGTATGCCTGTGGGACATCTTATGGTGTCCCCTATTAAGCCTAAGAGGATCTTACTTACGAATACTTTTCAAACGGTTTAAAGGGCCAGCCTAGTATCGACAAGTCCGGAGCCTGCCCGACAATGAAAACTTGAGCACCTCAATTTAAGTAAATTGAGCCCCTCCGCGCCTTGATTTGCTGCTTTTGAGCGAAAGAAGCAGGCAACCAAAGATATTCAAAAGCAGGAGAAGACAGTTGTGCTAATATCTTCTAGCGAGTTTGGCGTGGGTTGAGGGCCTAATTCCTGACACAAATGATGTATCTATTGCCATCGCTGCAGCCCCAAACCCAATATACCGAAAATCCCTGGAACAAGAAAAACCCTAAACCCAAGATAAGCCCTAGGTTCCTGAGTAGTACCCTTTGCTCTTTTTATTCTATGGTTAAAACGGGAATAACGGGAAGAAGGGTACCCTTATTCACTAAGGGGTCGCTCAGGAACCTACTTAGAGGTTCATGGGACTTAGTAACTAGGGTTATAAATACGGTAACTAGACTTATAATTACATATAACCCCAATTAGGGTACTTATAACCTTGCTTGCTAAGTCCCCTGATCCTCCAAGTAGAAAGCCTGGTACTTGGCGACTCCGGATCCAACCCATATTAGGGGACTTATAACTCCATTTACAACTACCCTAAACCCTAAACCTAAAACCTAAACCCTAAACCCTAAACCCTAAACCCTAAACCCTACCCACGAACCTCCAAGTAGAGCCTATTCTAGACCCCAGAGCTGCAGGAGGCAGCCTTGACCTTGCAGAAGCCTCCAGCTTCCGAGATCCGTTTAGGGGCCGCCTCACTGCCTTCAGCATTTAAGACACTAGGTTTAGGGTTTAGGGTTTAGGGTTTAGGGTTATGTAGGGTTTAGGGTTTAGGGTTTAAGGTTTAGGGTTTAGGGTTTAGGGTTATGTAGGGTTTAGGGTTTAGGGTTCTGTAGGGTTTAGGGTTTGGGGTTTAGGGTTCTGTAGGGTTTAGGGTTTAGGGTTTAGGGTTCTGTAGTTTTTAGGGTTTAGGGTTTAGGGTTTAGGGTTTAGGGTTTAGGGTTCTGTAGGGTTTAGGGTGTAGGGTTTAGGGTTCTGTAGGGTTTAGGGTTTAGGGTTCTGTAGGGTTTAGGGTTTAGGGTTTAGGGTTATGTAGGGGCCTTTAGTTCCACGAGGACGCTAGACAAGTCAGCCAGTAGAAGCTGGATGTTCGAGTGCAGGCCGCAGTGGTGGAAGCGCCCAAGGCGCGGCGCGTCAGGTACACAGGTAGTTCTCTAAACTAGGGCCCCCTTTTAGGTCCCCAATATAGCACGGCACCCTTATAAAAAGGACCCTAAAAGGGACCCTAATTTTGAAAACTACCAACATGGTGGTTGCTTTAAGCCACTCCTGTAGTCAAGATCCTAGCAGGGACCATAAACCAGAGAACTAGTTACGTAGCGTCGGGATTAAAGCTTTGCCGGTACGGTGTTGGGATATGAGCTTTATTATTAGTCCGCATTTGGGCCAATCCTACAGCGCACCAGAACCCCAAAGCCGAAAGCCTAAATGCTAAGACCCTAAACCCAAAAGCCCCCAAAAGCCGAAAGCCTTACTTGGAGGATCAGGTTAGTAAGTAAGTAAGGTTAGAAGTACACTGATGTTGGACCAATGATGAAATGACTTAATGCTGCTACCGTTATCAGGAGGTCAGATTGATCCAATTCGAATAGCAGTGGCCTTTGAGGCGAAGAGGAATTATGGAAAGATAGGCAGGATGGGGTACGAAATTGCATTTTTGAAATGGAACACCTGAACCCTAAACCCGAAAGACTTGAAACGGGACCCGAAATAATTACCAATAGCATTTTGGGGGGTTCCTGATTATAATGAAAAAATGATACCCCCAAAACCCTATTCTAATTCTGAAGGCCCCCGTATTACCCAAAAGCAAGAATAAGAAGCGAGTCGCCGAGTTGCCATCATAGGAGATGATGGCACTAACCCCCCAGGTACCTATATAGGGTCTAGGGTTTAGGGTTTAGAGTTTAGGGTTGACGGGGGTACTAGAGCCCCTAGGGCCCTATATAGTAGGAAGCTGGAGGGTTAGCGAATCTTCCAGCACTGCAGCCCCTGAACCCTAAACCCATCGAAAGCCCTGTAACGCCATTGATGGGCCTCCCTCTATAAAGGGACCTAAAATGCACTTTTTAAGGACCCCTGTGCTAGTTATGAAGGTCCAGATACTGAAGCCCTGAAGCCCTGACTGTGAGCTTGGAGGATCAGGGGACGTACTGTAGTAAGTAACATTGTAAGTACCCTAATTGGTGTCATAAGTAATTACAACTATAGTTACCTTACTTATAACCCTAGATGCTAGCTCCCATAATCCTTCAAGAGGTCGTGGAGGTAAAGCGCCAGCCGCTGCCACCTCCTGCCAAGGCCACGCGCAAAGCTTAGGTCAGGAACCAAAAAGCACCGAAACATAACCTTTTAGGTGGCATAGGTCCCTGAAGAAGTTTTCCTAGAAATGGGTTCAGGGGTGCCGGGTTTAGGGTTTGATGTATGAGTATTACTGCTAATCTTCGTAAGAGTGTGGCGTCTCAAGATTCCTTCATCGTGTCCTTTGTGAGTTTTGGGGTTCAGGATTTAGCAACCCTAAACCCTAAAC